CGAAATGACCAGTGTCAAGCATTTCGAGTCATCACACCACAACAACCTGTCAGAACTTGGCCAAAGTCAATTGAAACATTGCTGTGAGTCCCTGCTTTATGTCAATAGTCTTTTTGGATGTTCATTCTTACTTGCAACTGCACAAACTTGGTCTGAAGTCAAGAGGTGCCGCGATGCGTGGAGGTCGTGCGATCACGCAACTGCACATTCACCAGTATGAAATGCACTACACACCTCCCAACACAATTCCAAACGACAAAACTCACACATCGTCTTGGCCTCAATAGCCTCTTTGTATCGGTGTCATTTTCATTTGGTTATCAGTCCTGGATTGCGAGCATTACGGGCTGAATAATCTACCGTCGTCGCGTCATCTTCCAAACCGACCTGAGGCTGCACCTAACATCACCAAACTCACTTACACACTACATCACACATGGAGGCTCCCTACTGCACGAATTGCACAGATGACATGCATTCATATCAATCCCGAATTGTTGTTCGGATTCATTCATTTCCCAAATCACCACCAGCATAATTAACAATTACCGTCATTCCAACAAAAGACAGCAAAAACCTGGCGAAAAACCGAGCGACACCGACCGGCCACATCCATCCATCCCCTTTCCTCACGAACGTGCGGTGCGGGTGCCGTTGACCTTATGCCCTTGCTAGCCTGCCCGAGCCCTGGCGGGCTGCTTTGCTAGCTGCCCATCCAGGTCCCCTCACTAACAAGGCGGACCCCTATTCGGTCATTGGCCCAATGTTCTTTATCTTATCTGTGTAAGCAAAATGAAAGGTCCAGTGTGTCAGTCCACCTTGGGTTGCGTCCGAACCCCAAACTGCCCCATTCCTCAACTGACCGCCCGCCCGCGCACCACGGCCCAGCCGCCAGCGTCATCAAACCCCACCTTTTTGACCTTGTCCCCTTGCCAAGCTTTTTGCTTGTTCCATTTTGACTTTTTGAGCGTTGAAGCTTTGACCCCCGGGGACGGAGATCGCCTTGCCTGCCAGCATGCTCGTCGGTCAATGCCTGTCGGGCTGCCGCATGCAAAACTAAAGGTCTTGCCTGCCGGATGTGATGCTCGCTGAGGCAATGCCGGATCCAACCGCTGCCCTGCTCTGTTTCTGCCGCAACGGCAACGCAGCCCTACGCGGCTACGCCAGGCCCGGACCAGACTACACACCGCAACGCAACGGATTGAAGACCCACTCAGGTCACTCCCACTCACTCAACATTCCATCCGTGGAACTTTTCCAAATTCCATCCCTACCACCCTGCCGCCCACACCGCGTGCGCCGCGTGTGATCCACACCGCACACACCGAACTTGACCGACCGATCCCCGGCCTGCATTGATCCACACAACCGTTGTAAGATGAAAAACTCTTTCAACAACCAACCCTTGACCAGGACTATACAAGAGGATGGAATGAACAAGGCAATCACCAAATAAATGGCAGCTCGTTCATTCAGCTGCCCGGCTAGCTCAATCGGTAGAGCGTGAGACTCTTAATCTCAAGGTTGTGGGTTCGACCCCCACGTCGGGCTCAATTCCCGATGTTTAACAACGTCTTCAATTTTTTTGGCGGTCTTTTTTGTGTGATATCGTTGTTTCTCTTTTTTTGGGCAATGTCTTGATCGTTGTGGTTATCGACGGCCTGCCTGGGTACCTCCTACCTGTCATGTTCTTGTTTTCTGTTCTCACGGTTGTGACACGTTTTTGACTCCTCCTTTTTGGGAGAACAGGTTGAATGAATCCTGGCGAGATCTCACACGTCTTTCGCATCGGATACAGTAGGTATCGTGAATCGTCAATCCGTGAGATATTTGTCGCTTTTCACAGTACAGTTAGCTCTCCATCTGAGTACCTATCCAGGTTGAAGTAGTAGTAACCTAGATTTTGACCGTTCCAACATGAAGTTGATAACAGTCTCCCACATCATTACCGTGTTGTTAAAATTATGGCTTCCCTATCATCATGGGCTGATTGATGGTCATGGGCCATGACGGTCCTTCTGTGTTTGTATCATGAAGATCCCTATCCTATCCCATTTGATACATCGGATCGACTCGAAGGCACCTGACTAATCATCCTTTCAAGCATTATCTTGTGTCAAAGTTGTGTAAACTTGCAAGTCCCAGATGAACTGTTAAGCCAACTCAATCACTCAGTCGCTCTTCCTCTTCTTTTTTTTTTTTTTTTTGTAGAAAGTCTACAAATACAAAGAGGGGGCAACCACTCCGCAGACGCTCGTCCATCATGAGGTTTCTGACATCCCAACGAGCTGCGTATGGTTATTTAGACTCAAGAAAGATTGGCAAGTGCTTCGCCTGTTCGTAGCTGGACTTTTGCTGTCAGCGTGTTTGACTTATTTGGTGCGGTCAACATTTCGTCGTGGTCTCACTCCCCAATCGATGGGCAATGACACACGGCCACGGTGCCTGACTTCTCCAACACTCGAGGAACCTAATAGGTGCTCGACCAGATTCAACAGGAATGATGATTTGAGCAACATGTAAGTGTATCATCCTTGTTGCCTACCTAACCAATGACCAAGTTCGGCCCTCCACAGATCTACATAACAGGCGTCGAGATGTAATTCCAGGCCTCCCTCTATGCCACAAGCTCTCAATTCTTCTCTATCTGAGACTCCGATTTCAGATGGATGTCCGATACATTGTTACGAGTATGCAATCTCATTGCTTTTCTTCTGAAGTCCGAAATTTCCACGCTTCTTCTCTCCGACTGGTACCCTTTTTCCCCTGTTGAGCATGTATGGCAAAATTCAATTTTTTTTTTCCAACACGATATTGCCTTCAAGCAACACCACTTTCCCCTCCGTCGTCTACGCAAAAAAAAGACATACTCAAAGGAAGACAAAAGAATATTGAATGGCCACAACAGAAAAGAAAAGCTGGAAATGTGGAAAAAAAAAAAGAAAAGGAGTGAGATAAAGGGAAAAAAGGTAAAAAGATTTGGACGAGCTGGGAATCGAACCCAGGACCTTTCGCATACAGATGAGTATGCTAAGCGAACGCTCTACCAACTGAGCCACACGCCCTTGTGATTGGTTGTTGAAATAACATTTGACCGCTGTACTTATTAAGCTATTTCAGCAAATGGTCTCCGTCCACGCTCAACTTGCCACTGAGTCGTCTGTCGCCGTCACTGTCCCCGTCACTGTCCCCGTCCTTGTCTGGATCTGCATCTCCCTCCCGCTCCAACCTAGCCGAATCCCCTTTGGTGCCCTCACTAAGTCCTAGAATACTTAGGTTCCTAGGCCAACCCGAAGAGAACATGCCAAACATCTTAGTCTAGTTTCCTTTCTTTTCCCGAATCCAAGTCGGGGCAGCTTCTTCCTCCCCCTCCTCTTATTGTTCTTCCTTCCCAGTTTTCATCCCTGGACGAAGCGCCTTCTTCTGAGCTAGCATCCAGCGTGGCAATCAATTCAACTCATCAGTAGGCCTTCTCTTACTTATGTCCTTCCTCAATGTGCCTTTGCCTGTACTTGGGGGCTGGGGTGCGGTTCGGTTGGCGGGACCTTTCCTCAACCCCCTCTCATAAAAGAGGGGGATAAATATTATGGGACAACAAGCACTAATAGATTTCTTGGTGTGTGCCTTGTTGTTCAGACTGTCCCAGAGTATTTCGCTGTCCCATAATATTTTTATCCCCTACTTAATGAGAACGGGTTGAAGAAAGGTCCCGCCAACCGAACCGCACCACAACCCCCAAGTAATTACTCCCGTTTCCCACTACCACCTACCTAGCTTCCAACAACCATCAGGAATCCACATCTTTCAGAATCCACGTCCTGTCAATCCTGTCATTGTGCGATATTGCGATTCCAATAGCAAACTCTACCGCTCCGACGCTCTCGCACCGCGACTCCCTTGCCTATTCTCTCTTTGACACCCGACTAGTCTAGACTTACAGTACTTACCAAATTTATCCCATGATTAGAGGAGCAGGAACAGCCCGGTCCGTCTAACCCTTCCTTCCTTCCTCAACCGGACCAACCTCAATAGCTCTGTCTCTTTGCCTCCTCACTCCTCCTTCCCGCTCAGCTTCCATCACCGCCAGCGCTAGCATCATATTTACTCGCAATGAACAGAATGCCACAAAGAAAAAAAAAGAAAAGAAACCGGAAGATGCAAACGTGGTAGGTAGGTTCACTAATGAGTACTGATCACTATCACTCAGACTGGTCGGCACTAATATTTTTGAGACGGACGTTGATGCTATTCATTGATGGATGAGTAACTACCACTTGATTTCTTTTGTTCGTTCTTCCGCGCCTTCGACTATAACCTTGAAAAGTTGAAGTGGTATATCCATCACTTTGCCCACCACCCCGTCCGTCTCCTTAGTCTCGGGCCCTACCCCCCATGCTTCCCTTTCCTTTCCTTTCCTTTCCTCTCATTTCCCAGTCATATGTTGACCGCGATCCATCCCGTGTCTCTCTCCTCTCTTTGAACTAAACCAGACCAGACCAACTGACCAAATCCAAACTAAGCAAAAAGCAAAAAAAGCAAGCAGTAGTAGCCATAGAACTCCATTATTTTGCGAAAAGCGTAAATGCTATTGCCCTGTGTCCGATGAACGCCTTCCCTGTGCCCCTGCCTGACCCTTGACCCTTGACCCTTGACCCTTGACCTTTAAAACACCTTTTGATCATCAAACAGATAATTCATGATGAAATGAAATGAACAAATGGAGGCGGAAATGTAGAAAAAAAAAAAAGAAAAACCTGAAGACGATGATGGCCGAGACCGACCCGGCCCGATCTTGACCTGATGATGATCTGATGGATGGATAATGGAAAAACAAAAGAAAGGATGTGACACGGACAAACTCCAGACCCTTGACCCTTTACCCTTTCCCTTTCTCCCCAAGTGAGTTGGGTTCACCACTCACTTATCACTCACTCATTCACACACACCATCCACGACTTTCTTGACCTGCCCCCTGTGGACACCACGCCACCGTCCACCAGCTAAGTGCACAAATTCCTATTCAAAGCCCTTAGCGCTTCAACAGCCTTGTTATCCGGCGCCGCAGCCAGCCCAGTTCCCAGCGTATGACCGTGAGGTCCCAACCCATTAGGCGACCCAAGCGGACTGCGCACTCCATTGGCGCTGACAGGCGTAGCGCCGTTCGACAACGGTTCTGTCTTGACACCATTCGGTGGCGGAAGCAAGATCGCTGACAAACTAGGTCTGGTGCTCGCAGAAATGGGACTTTTGGGTCCCTTGATGTGACCGTTCACGCCATTTGGCTGTGGCGCGGCCAACGGGGGATGTAAGCTCAGTGGCGACAGCACGGGCTTCAAATCCTGCTGCTGCTGATGCTGGTGATGACGAGGTGATGATACGCCGTTCGCGCCGTTCAAAGAAGTAGCCGGTAGAGGAGGCGTAGATACGGCTCCTGATCCGGAGAAGGGCGTGCTTCCGTTTCCGTTTGACTGTTGCGGAGCGGGAAGCGGGCCACCGTGGGCTAGACGGGAGTCAAGATTGAGTGTCTCGCGGGCGGCGGCCATTAGTTGTTGGGACTTTGGTGAGTCGATGGGGGCGGTTCTCGGCGGGTGTTGTGGTTGTTGTGGGTGTTGTTGCTGCTGCTCGGGGTGTTGAGGGTGTTGAGCGTCGGATGGTAGTTGTGGGAGGGGAGATGCCCCTGATGATTGAGGAGGTGGCGGGCCTTGGTGGTGATGCATGGGTTGTTGTTGGCTCGGATGGGGTGGGCCGTGTTGGTGGTGATAAGGTAGTTGTTGATGTGGGTGTTGGTAGTGGTAAGCCGATGGCGGTTGCGGTAACGGCGGCGGATAGGGGGCTTGAACGGCGTGTTGATGCGGATACGGCTGCGGTTGCGGGAGCTGGATGCCGGGCTTACCGGCAGGCGGAGGGGGCAAGGCAGCCATGTGGTGCTGAGGAGGAGAGAAGTGTTGAGGGTGGTGAGCATAGTGTGGTGGCGCGTGCGGAGGAAGGCCGTCGGGGTGATATGGCGGTCCTGGGGGATACGGAACGGGATGCCCGTTGTAAGGAGGCGTCGCGACCGGAGAGATGGGTCCCCAATAGCCAGGGCCGGGCGGAGGACCATGAACGTTGGGGTCATAGGGCTGATGATACGGTGGCGGAGCGTTCCTTGAATGCGAATAGGGCGAGTGTCGCTGCAACGGACCTCTCGTCGTCACCGGGACCGAAGTTTCGCTAACACTGGACTCGGGGTAGATGCCCTTGGGGATGGAAACGTGCCTGAGCGCTGGGTCACTCGACGGATCGGGCAAGTTGGCTGGGCCCCGGCCATCCCGGGCATAATAGGAGATAAGGTGGAGGTGTTGGCCGTGAGAGGTCGTGATGCTGAATGACTGCTTCATGAGTCCATCGGCCTTGTACCTGTAGCCTTCGTGGTGATCGTCCGAACCCCGGTCCTCGTCACTAGCGCGGGCCGAGTCTGGAGTCCTCCCTGCGTTCCTCCTGCCGCCGAATCCTGCCCTCTTTCCTTCCATTTCCCGGTACGTGAGGAAGCTCCCGGATACACGACTGGCGCTCCATGACTTTCCATCGGTCCATCTCCGCATGCCGGCTTCCCTCTCATCCCAGACGAAGACCGAGCCCGGTCGGATGGCCTGCCGCTCTTTCTCGGATAGTCGGCGTTGTACTCGGGGCAGAGTGCCTACTCGACAGGCCTCGAACAGCTTGATGGCGTCGGCGGTTGTGCGGACGCTCCCGTAATAGGTTTCCATGGACATATTCGGATGGTGGCGCGACATTTTGGGCGACGCGGCGGTTTAATGTGATCTGCCTAGGTTCCGGAATATGTTGTCAGGGTGGATAGCGGTGGTGGGAGCCTGTTGATATTTAAAGCGAGCAAGCGTCACTTTTGGATGTGCTAATACGCTGCAAGCTCCACCGCGGCAACAAACGGATATCGGACAAATTAAGTTTCGTCCAGCCAGGATCCGGATTTTAGGCCCCAGCGTCGAATAATAGAAGATGGGGATGTTGGTCTTGGGCGGCAACTCTCTAGGTCCACCGGAAATCTTGGCTGTGGGGATCGATCCCAGCGTGGTAATCCCGGGAGTCGAGGCGGCTGTTTGGCGAGTTCTGCGAGTGTATCGTCTTGTAATAGCTATGGTAATGGTAATCTTTAGTCTGTGACGATTCGACACCCTCGGGGGTGGGGACAGGATGCCTGTTCTTGGCGAATCGTAAAAACAGGTCAGCCTTTTCGCTTCGAGTGTTAATTTTATGTCGCGAGTGGAAAGAAGCTTAAATCCAGTGCAGTGGTGTGTGTGGTGGCAGTTGTGAGCTTGAGCGTTTGACCGTCGAGGCGTAAGGCATTATCACCTCCACGGGGTTCCGCATGACAAGCTCAGATGGCCATCCCTGGAGGGAGTGTGGACCATGTACTCCGTAGCACCTGCAGGACCGAACAGTGAGGACATGACACTGACCACCCTATGTTGAGCTTGCGAGTAACATGTGTTCAAGTGAAGGCAACTCTGTTTGGATTTACAGGTGCCTGTCCCGCTATGGTCATGTCGTGGCTGTGATGTGTGAAGAGCCTTGTCATTGTAGGGCAGTCTGACGGGAATAGCCCCTCGGATGAGACTCGGACTTGAAATGGAGGTGTGATGGGGTAGGATCGAGGAAAAGAACTCTGGTACCTACTGAGCAGCGAAACTGTTGTGATAAAGGTAATGTATCGAGATATGTAGTGATCCCGAGGTTGCTGATAAGTGGCCTCCACTTGATGTTCCCTTTTCCCGAATGCCTTTTGGGGCCGGCGAGTCATGGGAAAACTTCAAGTATCCTGAAACCCTCGGAAACTTTCCAAATGAGCCAAGTCGTATGGTTCAACGGTGGTAGTGTGATGGTACTGTTTTGCGCCGAGACACAATAAATGTCACCACCACCAAATAAACGTGGCGTGGGTTTCTGGTTGAAGAAGAAGAAGCGACTCGAGATTGGCGATGTGGGGATTTCCAGCTAGGATGGAAAGGAAAAAGCGAGAAGAGGAAAGGAGACTGGCGCAGAAGGAATAAGATTTCCTTGTACGTGTACTGACCCTTCACTCGGTGACTGTCAGATTGTTGTCGATGGCGAAAGCGGCGGCTGAGTGGCCGTTGGTTGGTGTTGGATTTAGCAGCTGCTCGTCTTTCACAGTTCCAGGAAAACGAAGGTTCCAGTGACTTTCTTTCTCCCTTCCGCTGCCGGTCGCAGTGGACAACCAACTGACTTGTAAGTATGTATCGTTCGGTTCAGCCGGAGGCTCGGACAGTTTGTTAGTTGCGTTGGCTCTTCTCAGTTGGGGCCAGTCCCCAGTTGCCAAAGAAAAAGCCAAGTGTTGAAAGTGGAAATAAGAGATTTTAGCTCGCAACTGTCGAGGGGACTTGGCGGCTCGTTGGGGGATCGGCTGCAGGTCGATGACGACGCCAGCCAATGGCGCATGTGTCTCGGAATGTGGGAGGTACCGAGGGAGGAAGGCACGGTAAGATAGTGTATCTCTGAAAGTACCTTTTTGGCCAGGGAGCTACGCCGGTATTGATGGGAGATGAATCTGGGGTGGTCTGGGGTTTTCGAGTTCCCTTTCAATTGCCCTGTGTTGGTTGTTGGTGACTGTTGGTGGCCAAAAGTCAAAGCAAGCTTTCTTCCAAGGTTCTGTTTCTGTTTGTTGGAGCACATGTAGACTACCGGTATCTTGAGCACGGATGCAAGGCGGGCGCGCGTGAATGTACGTATTACTGTATGTATCGTGGTAATTTTGATACATGGGACGAACCCGGGCGGTCTGTGACTGCCAAGATTACCGGTCTAGTGCATTGTACGGGCATATGACATTTCTGCAGAAAGCGACCTGCGATGCTCTGCTGCTTCAATACCTACTTTACCTAGGGGTCGGATGCATGTTCGCTTCGCGTTTGCGTATTGAGGTTGACGCAAGCTCTTTTTAGAAAATTAAAGTTGACGATTGAGTTGCGGTTGGAGATGATGGGATGGATGGATGGGGGTGGCGGCTGAAAGTGGGCCCATACTCATGGCTTCCCCTTCCATCCGTTTAGGTTAAGCTGTTCATCAGCGCCTGCCATTCGCTGAAGCGAAGCCCTGTAGCCTGACAAGTATTGCTCGCTGACCACCACGACTTGAAGCAAACGCGGCTGGACCTCTGTTAGTTCTACCAGAGGGGAGCTCACGATGGAACTTCCCCCGGCTCATCCATATCAAACAAAAATGAATAGAAGGAAAGAAACATCAGTTTGAGGTTTGAGGCCATTCCCATTACTAACACAATCCAGACAACGGATTCCAATATTTCAGTTACTTACCAAACTATTACATCAACCACCAGCAACTAATTTCCGTCTCCTCGTATCCCGGGCCATGGACCTAACCCAAAAGTTAGAACTACCTTAAGTTAGCACCCTCACAGCCTCACCCTAGTGTAATAAAATAAAACCAACGCTATCCAAAAACAGGCAGTTCAGTTGGCAATAATGTACTGTATGTGTATTTCCATTTCCAACAGAACACCAGTCGCTAACAAGCCTTCCTTCTATGCTTCCCTCCGCTGAATGAATGAGCTGTCTATTGTAAGCTTATTACCAAACATCAATCAGGGGTCATGTCGGTATTTTAACTCGTCGTCTTTGGCTGGTTTTGAAAGCTACACCACATTTGTACATAGGTACATGTTTGGGCCGGCAGTACACTACTGGTACATCCGCTCTGCAGCCCGCATTTTTGACGCTTGTTCACCCGCTCCCTGTGTCCTGTGCCCTGCGGTGGGAGCAGTTGGTGATCTCCCGTCAGCGCCTCGCAGCAGGCATTCACTTTACATGCCGTATGCTGTGTACAGGTATGTGTGGGTGAATGGGACAGATTAGTAGACGACGGATGGATAGAAACAGGATGATGGTACACAAGGCGCAATAAATGAATAACCGGAGGGGCTGTTGGTAGTTTTTATGGATTGTTGGTTGGTTGATTGTTGGCTTTGGTAACCTAGAAAAGAGGTTATCGATCTTGCTTGCATTCAAGCACGTCAAGTTAATTAGGCCAGCCACCACCGACTGCACCCTTTGACTTTGCGTCGTTGGTGGCATCGCACAGCTATCACCCTCAACCATGTCGGTATGCTTATTCCCTTGATGCTGTGGTACTGCCTTGTAGCAGGTATGCCGTGTAAGATGTATGGTGTATAGTATGGTATGTATATCGTCCACCAACGAGCTCCGTGTCAAACGGCGACGTCAGTCACGCAATCGGCAATAGAGATAACCAACGTGAACGGTGTTGGCTTGGCCGCAGCATCATCAATTTCCCAACGAGCTGACAAGAGACGGAAAGTGGATGTTCACATGGAGGGCCAGTTTGTCCGTTTGTTCCTGTTGGTTCTTGTTAGGTATTGATTTGATAAACAATCAATCAATCCATCTCGCTTTTTCAAAGCCGAATTCGAGCGGAGACTTTGCTTTGCAGAACTAACATTGGCGCACTCCCACAAAGGCCAAGAAGTCCAAGGAGCACAGCTAATGCTTGGCCTGCTTGGCCGGAGCTTATGGCCTTGGCTTTGCGAAAGTGATCTTCGGTTGAACAAGACGGGATGCAAGGGGAGGGGTGTGTGCAGAACGAACAGCAAAAAAAGGCACTGCGATGGTGAATGACAGGTGACGGAAAATCCTGGGGTCAAAGCAAGAGAACAAGTAGTTGGGAGAAGGTGCCCTTTTCGAGCGGGAGCAGAGAACACACAAGAAGCCAGAAAAAGTGGCGTCCTGGAGTGCAACCAAGCGGACCCCTGCACCCGCGGAATTGACATGGAAATATCATCCCAAATTCAAGCTTATTTTTCTGCGACGCTTGCAACAACGCTTGCAACAACGCCTCCTGGGATAGCTCGGACTGGGCATTTTCTTGGTGGTGTTAGAGTGCTCCATCTTGGCTCCATCGGGTGTCCATCTGGTGTCCATCCCGTCGAATCCGCTTCGCCAACCACGCAATGTGCTCTTTTGAAATCTGGGGGTCGAGGAAGTCGAGACGGGCTTGGCGTTGCTCCGGAACAAGCTCGGTGGGACAACTCGTGACTGGTTTCGCGATTGCCCATTGCTGTTTTTTTCCCACGGGAATGCATCCGTTTCGTCCGGCCAGTGGTGGTGGTGAGGGTAGTGGCCCCCCCCTTTTTTTTTTTTATCTTATCATCACGTAATCTGCCACTTTGTTGTGGTGGTGTAGCGAACAATGCAGATTCCCGGCCACAATCTCTTGGGAACTGACCCTTTTCTTCTTCTTCGGCCGTGTGTTTGGAAGTTGGGAGACGACGACGGCAAGTGGAATGTCGGGAACCGATGAAGCGAAAGTGATACGGGACCACAAGACCATCGAGGTACCCGTGGAATACCCGTGGAATACGTGCGGAATATTCGGGGATTTATGAATCCACTGAAGATAGAAGAGTTTGAAGCAAATCTCTACACTTACACGGCGCCCCAGGGCAGGTCCATGTTGCACACGTCCGCCAGTTTGAGAGAAATACAATTGTCGGATACTCGTACACCGTTTCCCGACCGCGTGGTCTCCACTGGAAAATGTCTTGTCCGTTGTCGGCCAATGTCAGAGAGTTTGGAGAAATCGTCAGTGGATTTCACTTTGTGTCTGTCTCGCACGACTTGTTTTGTCATATGTTGATCCGCGTGCCCCGGTCTCGTGTTGTGGTCGTTGCGGTTGTCAGTGATTCTCTCCGTGGAAGTACCCCTCGACAATTCAGTGGAAATCA